CGCGGTTCGCGCGCTCGCTCTGAGCCCCGGCGCCCAGGTGGGATGGAAGAAGCCTATCAGGTAAGCGTGGCATCCAATATTTGTAGCATCAACATTTTGGTGCATGGAGACGTGAAGTTGGGAGGAAAAAATAAAGCACAATCGGCGTACAACATAGCACTTTGCATTGCTTGTCCCTTGGTTGCAGATTATTTCCCCGGATTCAATTGGACGGTAAAATTTGGTTCAAAGTCATCAACTGCCCCTTGGCGGTCCCATAATCTACATTACTCAGCAGAGACCAGACAAGACAGGATTTATGTGCAGCTGCAGAATCTATTCTGGGTACTCCAGTGGGTATGTTCTGGGGACTTCTCATTTGCCAAGGACAACTCCCCCTCACCTCCCGCCCCCCGCCCCCCGCTTGGCTGTATTAACTGGAATCTTAATCCTAAATTTGACTTTTAAGAATGAGAGGATGACGTCTTCTGATTTCGCTGCCAAAAGATGCAGCCTACAGAAGGCCAATTGTGAGTCAAGGGAGGGAGCTGATGTATCCCTCGCGATGACAGTGCCCATTTGTACCAAATTCACTTTTCCTCTATCTGCGTTCTGGAGCCGATTCCATCCTGCCATGGGCCAGGTATTATTCATCTTGGTAGCCTGGTTTCCAGCAAAGAACTGGCATACGAGGAATGTCTAATGAAGGAATTGAACTCTCCATGGAACCTGTCAAACCAAGAATGTAACAGTTTCCCAGACTTTTAATGCTAGGCTTCTTGGTAAATGTGTTTCCTAATTAATTTTTAATAATTTAATTTAATTGTACCCTCAGTGAAAAATCCAGACAATTCAGGAAGGATTCAAGGAAAAAGTGCAAGTCCCCATCCTCACCCTGTGTACACTACACAGTTCCACTCTCCAGATGCAACCCCTGTGTGCATCATTCCATGCCTTTTACAGGCAAACATGTGCAAATATTTTAAATGGAATCGCAGACTTATTGTTATGACTTGTTTTTTCCATTCATCATAAAGATCAAATCTCAGAACACTTAGCTTGAGCTCATTCTTTTTAATAACTACATAGTCCTGATATTTTTACTTTTAAAGAGAGTGAGTTTTGGCAGTTCATTAGAGGACTCATGCTGTACTTCTTGGAGACCCAGTTTCGGATGCTTTTGGGTCACCTTGAAAGATAAAGAGAAATAATGTTTTCCGCTGAGGTAGATAAGCTGTGCAAGGATGAGAATGAAAAGTACCCCTACAGGTTACTTCAAGCCCCACCTTTTTCAAACTCAGATCAGTTCCAGGGAGAGGGTTTTTGAATATGGTAAATCTGCTCTCTATAACTGAAGCCAACAATCTGAGTGCAACAGAGGAGCCTGAGAGTTAGCAGGGCACAGCGTCTCAGGAAGTGTGCAGAGAAAAGAAACCTAGAAGCCCCCAGTGAAAGTCCAAAAGGCATTTAGCCCAATTTCAAACACATCTTAAACAGAACACGCGTTCACATGATTTAGGTCAGCCAACGTGGGGGAAACAATTGCACAGTTTATTCCCCTGCAACTAGAAGGGAAGGGAAAAGGAAACACTGTGACGACTCAGGGGGCACCAGCATAGTGGAATCCCCGGTTAATTCAGCATAAAGTGTGGTTATCTAAGACCAGGGAGAAATAAAGCAGCAGTACATTGCACAGGTGATAGCTCATCCCCTGATCCTTGATTTGGCTTCTGTCATAGCACATCCTTCTGCTATTAGGATGAAAAGCTGCCAGCATATGTCTTCCTAAATCATCCGTTTATGAGATATATGCATACTGACCAATAGGATCAAGGGCTAGACCATTGATAATCTGAGACCCCTTACAATTCTAACATTCTGTGATCCTGGGCATGCAGGACATTAGGCTCTCATCTAGACAAGTAAAAACTGTGACTCACTACTCCATTTCTGCCCATCTTCCTACCTGTGAAATTAAAGTTAATTATATTGCGGCACCTCACTCACTTGAACTCCCTCCATTATTCAGATTTTGTACTTGGGTTTCCTGAATAAAAGTTGAATAACTTTTCAAAACCAGGGTTCAAGAAATAAAGGATGATTTCTTAATACCTTCAGTTTCTGTGTCCAAAAATTCATTCTTTGATAGTAGAACATTTTTATTAATCATGATTATTGTTATATACGTCTTTTACCTTGGTTTTTAAAAGATCATGTCTTATTAGAATCTTTTAAAATCTGTATATCATTTTTTATAATAGAAATATATCAGAAATAAATTCTAATATTTATATTTTTGAAGTCAGTTTTACCTTTCTCCTACTTAATGATATTTTATTATAGACTTATACCATATAACTTTTTCGTAAGTTGTATATAGTTTGTGATAATATTTAAATTATATCAGTTTCTGTAATGTATGTATTGAATTTATAATTCACATTTATGTTTTTTAAAATGCTCTAGGGGATTAAGTGACATAAAATCCGTTAAAAATAAATGTTGCTTTGTAATACTCATTTTGTAACTTGTTTCACAAGTTTAAATTTTAAATACTCATTAGGATTACCTACAATGCAAGATACTTAAAAACATAGACCATAAAATGAAGACTAAGGTGTTTACATTATCTATGAAAGAAAACTGTTATATATGAACATGTAAAACTAACTGAAAAAATGTGGCATTGTTTACTGGGCACAGAGCAGGTTCTATGGCCTATTAGGTAAACTGGTGCCCTGGGACCTGCATAGCTTCCGTGGGACTGTCATCTAGCCTTCATTCACCATTCCTGACCTTGCTTATCAGTTTGCCATCTGAATCAGAAAAATTAGCCTTTTGATTTGATTTCAGGATCATTTCTTAGCATTTTACTCTATAGCTTGAAAAGAGTATTTCCAATCCTGCTCAATAATTTGTCCAATTTTAGTATGAGGAAATATTTTTATTTATTTACATTTTTAAAGTCAAATGTTCTTTCCAGGAACTAGGAGTCCTGCGTAAGTATAATATGCACATACAATAGGGACCTCTCTCTGTAGCTGATTGGATGCCTCTAAAGTTAGGATCCAGCTTCAATGATTATATGTTCAAGCAGAAAATTTCAATGGCACTCTTTTAGCCAACTTGCTGGCTGAATGTCATTTCCTATACCAATCACTTGAGACAATAATGGATATGTTACAATAATGGATATGAGATAATAATGGGTAATCTAGGGGTAAGCTTAGAGAAAATGTAAATGCTCCATTTTTTTAAGAAAAGTAATGTCATATACAAGGCAGTTGTTAAATCATGTGGGTTTCTCCTCATGCTTGTGCCCTTTGCTTGATTTATAGTTCCCAAGAGGGAGCCTGGATGAGAGGAGAGGGGATTGAGTTGTATGTGACCTTCATGCCTCTCCCATTTTTTTTGTCTAATGACATTTTCTCAGTCATATATCCCTATACAAATGAACTTTAAGTCCCACTCCCTTCTAACAAGATTGCTCTACCTGAGCCCCTCTTACATTGAAATTCTGAAGATTTCAGGAATCTATAGTCATGTATAGACCTAGTCCAAATTGGCAGTTTTTCAGGGTAAGCAGAGTAGAATGGGACCAGACAGGGCTAACTTCGTTGCAGGTTAAGACCAATACATTGTCCCAAGGGAGTTGTTCTCAGGCCCAGTCTGGCCCATATTTTTTCAAGCTGGTTCAGCCCACTGGCTTGAAAGATATTTTGGGAGATTGTAAGCAGAAATCATGCTGCAGCAACAGCCTATCCCGTTGGAGCAGTTGCCCACCTGGAACGGTTGGCAGGGGTCAAGGGAGGCAAGGCATGGGACCGCTATAGGGAGGATGGGGTAGGTGGACCCAGACCTCTCTCACTGATGCCTCCGAATTTTCTGATAATACTTCTTGCCTTGGTCAAAGACGGCTTCGGACCTGTGCCGGCTCAAGTGGCAAGGCTTCCCTGACCTCATCTCTTGGAACTGGCTCTGCAGGAAGCTGGATTAAAGCAGAAGTGTGCATTTGCCCCATGAAATTTAAATAGAAGTGTGTACCATAATCGACTGCCATCTATTCTCAGTTAGTAATCCCTGGGAAAGTAGCACCTGCTTAAACACTTCTGGAGAATGAAGCATCCATCCACAGTAAGGAAGAAAGGCAGAAAGTTTCCAAGAGAATTCAGTGATCCATCAGCCAATCAATAAATACTTAAGTGCCTACACTAGGCTCCAAGGAGATATATTATTTTTGTTCTTAGAAACTAACTGGAAAGCTGAGACTAATATGCTCACATGGTTGCCCATAGAGAAAAACCAAACACCTTTGAGACTCTAAGCCCTATGGGAGCAACGCCAGGAATGAGGGGTCACAGATTCTGACTATCTCTGGCTGCTGAGAACTGAGAAAAATGATGAACTCTAATTATATACGTTCCCAGGAAATCGCACCTGTTTAATCTCCTCACTTCCTGCAAAGATGAAGGTGAGAGGAAGGGAAATATGTTTCCTTTAGCACCTCCAATCCACACTTGTAAGAGAAGAGAAAGGAAAATGCTCTTGCGCGCTTCTTGGAATTATTTTTAAAGTGTTTTGGTTTTACTTTTCTGTTTACATGTGTATGTAATATGTGCTCTTTAAAAACCTTTTGCCCTGGCCGGGTGGCTCAGTAGATCGGAGCATCATCCCCTACACCAACAGGCCGTGGGTGTGATTGCTGGTCAGGGCACATACCTAGGTTGCAGGCTCCGTCCCCGATCAGATCACGTACAGGAGGCAACCGATGGACATTTCTCTCTCACATTGATGTTTCTCTCTCCCTCCTCCTCTCTTGAGAATCAATAAAGACATATCAAGTGAGGATTTAAAAAAAAATTTTAATACTGAAATGTATAATATAGAAAGTAGTAGTCCCCCCAAAAAGCTTTCTCCAGGTAATCACTGTTCACAAGTTGATACATATTCATCCAAATTTTTTTCTTCACATAAACCATTTGCTGGACTTCCTAAAGGAAGGTGCCTATTTTTACCATTACCAGCCCCACATCTATATAGAATAAAAGCCAGCAGACTACGTGAGCCACATGCACAGGGGC